CTCCCTAAATCTACTAACCATTTATGAACTTGTGTGATTCTGAAGGTTGGCCCGAAACATAAGTTATTTTTTCCGTAAGTCCCCGAAGTTTAAGTTACTCTGCTTCAATGTTAGAAATCAGTTCTTAGTTAATTCATCCATCAATCCGAGTAAGCGAACCTACTTCAACCATGAACTGTTTTTGTTTCTCACTCTTAAGTCAATAGTTAACTTCTACATATTTGATAATCTTTTACATTGTTTTTAGCCATTAGACCCTCCTCAACAAAGATTCTATCTCAAAATGTGGCGCTCANGTTCTTAGTTAATTCATCCATCAATCCGAGTAAGCGAACCTACTTCAACCATGAACTGTTTTTGTTTCTCACTCTTAAGTCAATAGTTAACTTCTACATATTTGATAATCTTTTACATTGTTTTTAGACATTAGACCCTCTTCAACAAAGATTCTATCTCAAAATGTGGCGCTCGGGTTTTTCAGGGTGATTTAGTATGTTTTATGTAATTTATGTGACAAATAGACACAATTCACGTACTTTAGTTTAGGTTAGACAATCAAAGCATTTATTTAATATTATAGTTTAAGTACCCAAATTATACATTCATCCCAAAAGTGATCCATACTCGATACTATTACATCTCGTCGGTTTTGAAATCACACCAAAGCAACAAAATACAAGTCACAAATCTAGAATTTTCTCGAGCATTAACATGAAATATAATATTTCATAAGTCAACTGAGCACAGATATTTAAGATAGCTCTGGGAAGAAACTTTTGTCATCTCTTGATCTATTCTATGCAAAAATGTTAGAGTAAGCCAACGCCCAATAGGAAAAAAACTATCGAGTGTTAATCCCATCCCACATGACGTAAGTATACACAAAATTCTTAAATAATATTCATGACAAGTAAATATAGCAATGTTAAGCTCATAACGTGCTTAAAGCAATACATAGGAAGTACTAACAAATAGAAATCGTTCAATTTAGCATGTACCCAACATTACATATTCATGTCATGGGTCACACTAGATTTTCAATCTTAGTCTATGGTTTGTTATGCACAAACTCTTAGGGAACACTGGGTACCTTCGAGGGCTCTAACCTCGGGTGTACCTCACTCCCTCGTCCTTAGATGTTTTCAATCAGGGCACGAGTAACCCTCGCACCTCAACGGATACTATGCTTGATCAAGACGTATTCTGGGTCTTTCACCCAAGGGAGGAGCGATCTCTACTTACTTGTCTCATATTGTTTCAAACATTATCATTTTGTGTATCACATCATTATCGATTATGTATACTAACCAAGATTATCACGTGCGAAGAACCTTCCATCGAATTACCATTTAATATACTCATAGTGCAGTTAGAAATAGGCATTTCAATACCCTCTCGACATTTTAATACATATAAGATTATGTAATATTTCAACCTTAGTGTAATTATCACCATTGTGAACATGTCGTCATTTATCATTCTTTGTATGTCAACATATCTCATGTATATCACCATAATTTAGTGGTTGTTAATATTGACTAGAATTACATCCTTATTTATACAACCAATATATATACTTTTCATAACCATGAGTGTTGTATATAAATATATACACTCCTAAAGAGCTAATAATTTATGATAGCCTCTATAATTTGAGTTTTAAAAATTTTTGGGGTCTTTAGATAATTTCTAAAGACCTGATCCAGAAATGATGTAATTTTATAATCTATAAAACAATCTCATAATTGTTCGGGGTCAATATACAATTTCAAAAACATTTTCTAACTATTAAAAATACTGATTTAGTGTTTTAGTAATATTTTATGATCTTCTAGGGTCATTGTGTAATTTCAACAAGTACTTATCTGTTACTTATGTGACACAAAATGGGGCTTTCTATAACTTAAAAAAACCTTAGACTTAATTTTATAATTTCAATAAATAGGTATATGTTGTAGCTAAAACTAAAAGTGATAGTTTCTGAATTCAATAATGCTATACTGATCAAATTTTGAGATTAAATTTGGAGCCCAAATGACATGACAGCCGACTTAGACTTCTTTATTTTGTGTCATGTCATATGGGTCTCAATAAAGACTTCAAATAATATGTTGTCATGTCATTTGAGCTCCAAATTTGGTCCCAAAATTTGGTCAACGCATTACTATTCTGAATTTAAGCCATCATCTCCATCTTCTTCTATCCACGCCCAATACTCTTCTTCTTCTTCTTCTTCTTTCTTCTGTCTTTTTCTACCTAATTTTATCTCTTAAAATTATTTTTTTTAATTGTTTTAGGAGATACAAAACTCATTCGAGAGACCTACGCATCCAAATAAGTATATATAACATACCCACATATACACCAATATATGTATAGTTCAATCATGCATAAACCCACATGTTTCCTATATATATGTACATATACTCTACAATCAATAGATCCACAACAAGATAGTTCTAATCATACCCTTTTACTTGGATTGATCGNACATGTTTCCTATATATATGTACATATACTCTACAATCAATAGATCCACAACAAGATAGTTCTAATCCTACCCTTTTACTTGGATTGATCGTCCCAAAAGCTTTAGCACCTCAACAATGGTGGATGACCTCTCTCTCTCTCTCTCTTTATCTTTCAAGACTAAGGCTGCCCGATTTCTTTCTCCTTCACTTTCATTTGTTTTGCCCGTATTTATACACTAAGGAGGAGTGGGCTTCAGTCTTCAGTCAAAGTAGTGATCTATGGTCATGGGCGGCAATGGCAGANCTTGGATTGATCGTCCCAAAAGCTTTAGCACCTCAACAATGGTGGATGACCTCTCTCTCTCTCTCTCTGTGTTTATCTTTCAAGACCAAGGCTGCCCGATTTCTTTCTCCTTCACTTTCATTTGTTTTGCCCGTATTTATACACTAAAGAGGAGTGGGCTTCAATCTTCAGTCAAAGTAGTGATCTATGGTCATGGGCGGCAATGGCAGGCAATTATGCTTCCTTGCCTTCCTAAAATGGTTAATGTCAGCTAAATAGTCATGACAAGCTATCATGGCTGTGCTATTCACCATCATTTTTTTTTAATTCATTTAATTTCGTTTAATTAATTTAACTTAAACTAATTTGTCCTCGGTACTAAACATAGTCAATATTATACTTAGTCGAACTTGATTTCATGAGTGGAATTCAATGATGAAGTCCATTTCTTCATCCGAGTTTTCNTTAAACTAATTTGTCCTCGGTACTAAACATAGTCAATATTATACTTAGTCGAACTTGTTTTCATGAGTGGAATTCAATGATGAAGTCCATTTCTTCACCCGAGTTTTTNACTTAGTCGAACTTGATTTCATGAGTGGAATTCAATGATGAAGTCCATTTCTTCATCCGAGTTTTCTATTAAAAGTTGAAATTTTGATAACTCAATAGATATAATTATAAATAGCGGTTTTTCACACAAATAACAAAGGCATTAACATCAGCAGCCAAATTCTTTAATGGAAATGGACCTCAATTAAGAGTCCTGAATCATGGCAAGTCAGACAGACAATGTTTAGAGGACTTCTGAAGCAAAATCTTCAAGATTGCTAAATTTCAGATTTTAGTGATTTTGTTTATACCTTAGAATTGAATTGCTACATAACCCAGAAACAAACTATATTTCAATGTATCTCAAATCATTCCTCATTCATATTCATTCAAATCCAATATTTGAGTAGATGTTTGGAATGATCTTATAATAGGTGGGTTTTTTTTTAATTAATTTCTAAGATCTTTTGACGAGATTTACTTCTATAATTATCAGGAAAGCACCAAGGCTTGACTGTGACTGATCTAATCTAATGGGTTGGCCGGCAGCTAACAGGTAAACCAATTGGCCTCTCTGTTTGTTCATACGCTTGTCCAACTTGGTCATAAAACTGGTCTGGCGCTGAAGTGGTGATGAAATGAAGTTGATATTCTGTTTTCGGCGAATTCAAGGATCAAATATGAACGTCTACATGGTCAAAACCATTGAGAATCCAATTCATTTTTGTTTAAATTATCGAGTTAAATAAATTGATGAGAGCGAAACATGATGGTCTAATTGCCAATGGCTAAACTAAATATTGGAAATGTATGTCCTATCTTGTTGTTTTTGATTGGATTCCGGTCATCGAGCTGATTTATTTGGAAAAATAAATCAAACTGAATGAGCCCACCTGTCTTTGTATGAATGGTTATCCGTGTTTTCCATGTTTGTCACAGTGTGTCTTGGGGGGGGGGGGG